AGAATAGTAATTACCTACAACATATGGGATGTCCCAAATCTTGTGCCATTCTGGGCCGCTCTCCTTGGCGCATCTTTCTTCTAGACGGGGACATCCATCAATGTCTAGTTCTGTTAATTTGGTGAGGCGTTGCATAACTTCAAAGGTAGGTAGATACATCATATTCTTACACTCCTTAATATGCAGGGAGATAAGAGATGTAAGGTTACCCAACCATTCTGGAAAAGCCTCTATGCTGTCGAAAGACCTTACAGACAAATATTTTAGACAAGTAGTCAAGTGTTGAATCTGTTGAGGCAGAGCCTTGAGCTTAGGCCACCCTGAGATCTTTAACCATCGGATTTGTGATGGAAGCTCAAAATCAGGGAAATAATCGAGCTCCTCCCAAAACCTACCGATTTTCATACTTTCCAAACTCAGATAGCGTAGCCCCGTTGGCAAATATTTTAATTTCCGACAATCAAATATTTCTAAATTGGAAAGAGACTGCAACCTGGATACATCGACATCTGCCACAGATATCAAATTGTGGCATTTACTGATTGTCAAGCGGTTAAGAGATGTGCAGGATTGTAGGCCCCTCGGTGGACTTGTGAGTCCACAACCACAAATAGACAACTCACGGAGGGATGTGAGGTTGTCTAAACTGGGAATAGCTTCTAGATTAGTGCAATTCTCTATGTACAGCTCCTCAAGAGAGGCGAGGGTTTGTAGCCCATCCACCGGTAAATGCCTCAAATTTTGACAATTTATGATACGTACCCAACGTAGAGAGGTACAAGACTGTAGCCCACTGATCTGTATACTTGTCCGCCCATTGCATTCATAACTTGTCAAATCATCTAAAGAAAACTCCTCATCAACCATTTGTAGATTCGTTGACTCACCACAATTTTCAATATGCAATTCCCGAAGGGAGGTGAGACTGTGAATTGAAATGCATGTTAGCTTAGGGCAATCAGCTATTTCCAATTTCTCAAGAAGACGTAGTGTGTGTAGCCCATCTAAATGGCTAAGCTTTTCACAATCGCCAATAAGCAGTGACCGAAGATTCTGGTTCTTTTCCAGCATCCCTACTGGCAGACAACTAAGCTCTTTGGCGTCACCAATGTCAAGGCGAGTGAGAGTGGTCAGTTGACTGCACATATTTTCTATTGGCATCACGTGGTCACTATCATGTATGAACAACTTCTGGAGAGATGGAAAACGATTTGGAGCATTTCTCAATTCCCTGCAATTCCAAAGAGTCAACTCCTCAAGGCAGGGAAACACAACTGCTTTCTCATCTGTTGGCGTAATCACATCGACTTCCTTCCATTCAATAAGAGCTGGGCAATTATAAAACCTTAAAGTTTTCAATGATGGAAACAAAGCCGCCCTCATCTCAACCCTTTTCGTACTCGTACCCGCCGCAGCACCGTAAACATGGCTATAACCATAAAACTCAACTCCCACACATTTAAGCTTATCCATACCTCGGAATCCAACATGCCTAAGATGTGGTAAATGGCCAAGTGATGGGACTTCTTCACATTCTCTGCAGTTGGATAACCAGATCTCTTTCAAATCAAGTAGCAACAAACCACTCATCATCCATGATGCTAATTTAACACCCATGAAGTTTTCAATCTCTAAGATTTCTAGCTTAGGGTTCGGTTGGAGGCCTTCTAGTACATCACTCTCCGTGTTGTTTCTGGGGCTGTAAGACCCCCACTGTAATGTCAAAATTCGTATATTTGCTTTCCCACCTAAATTTGATTCCTCTGCTTCGTCTTTGTCCCTCACTTGTTCCAAAGATCTGATAGTTAGTTCACCTTTTAATTGGTTTAAGCCACCCAACTCGCCAATTTCATGATTCCTTTCCCTATCCAAAGTAAAGTAACGTAATGTTTGCAGACGAGTCAATCGTCTCATCCCAAATGGAACTTCCCTTTCATAGTCGAAATAAACATGCCTCAAGTTGATCAAATTTTCCATTTCCTTTGGAAACCTTCCAAGATTCCATGTATCACACATTCTTAACGTCTGCAGATTATAAAGCTTGCCAATAGATTTTGGAAGTTCTTTGATTCCTGTTTCAGAAACATCCAAATACCTCAAGTGTTTCAACCTGCCAATTGAGCTTGGCAACTCCACAATGTTAGCCTTGTATAAATTCAACACACGTAAAGCATTAAAACTTGACAAGCCATTGCTAAGGCCTTCACCATTTGAAAATAGGGACCGCAATTTCCCAACATTGCTTTTTGAAATTCCTTGTGGTGTGATAGGAGTCTGTGCCATATGTCGAATGCCAGGTTTGTCTTCTCTATCATATTTTGACACTAGTTCTGCAAGATCATGCACAAGATCGTGCATCTTGCATGTTATAACAACTCCATATTCATCCTTTATAACATCTTGAAAAAAGGAGTTTTGCAATAGAATATTAAAATATGCATTCCCTATATCTTCCATCTCTAGATCTTATCGTGGATTTGTTCTATTTACAAATATCTCTCTATTTCAAGTCAAGCATGTCTAATTTGGTGCAATCTTTCACACTATGTATATATATTGATTGGAATATGAAGTATGTATTATTCATGGAACATGGGAACTTCAATATTGGGGTATCCGAAGGATAGATGTATCACACGGGGACATAGGGCAGTGAGGCCAATACGAGTCACGTGGTTGGTTGCATGCTATGAAGGATAACCGAGATATGAAGGGATGATGTGATATGATCTAGACTGGTATATCTTTTCATGATATTTTCTAGAGTGTGTAAAAAGGCATTGCTTGACTACTCACTGAGCGGTGGTTGCTCATCCCTCACCTTGTTTAATTTTTCAGATGAATTAGTGGGCAAGACAAGGACTAAACCAGTTGAGGATGGATTAGATGAGAGTGATAGAGCTTTATTTATTTCATGTAAAGTTGTAAGATTTTGGGAGCTATTTTTATAAGAAAAGTTTATTTTATGCTTCGGCTTCTTTTTATTTTATTTTATTTCACTCACGCACCGGGCGCGGGGTTTCCACCTACCCTCGGGTCCGGGGCGTGACAATTAAGTTTGGGATAGGAGCCATATGTACCCTGGTATCTACAGCTATTTTCTTGAGTGGTTTATCTTCGTACCCTCGTGGACCTCGACCACAACCCATCCGTCTAACCAAAATATTTAGGGTA